TATGTTCTATACACGCTAGATCTATGCCTGTACGTGAAGAGCCTTGGCTCTCTATGGCACCACCAAGGTAGTTCTTGGTCGCGCGAGCAATTATTAGCTGGTATGCAAAAAAAAATTTCATTTCAATCAATTCATTTCTGCTTATTTCGTTTTAGTTCATTTCGATTTCTTCAACAGCAAAGTAAATATAATTACTTTCACTTTTCTTCATTATATTATTCAAAAAAAATAGAATTAATTGTTATTGTTATGTTTTAGTTCCATTCAACAATCCAATTCAAACGAAACGAAAATAATTACAACTGTGTATTTTTCTCATGTACTTTTTTAGTTTTTTGTAACTTCTGTTTTTTTTCTATTTTTGAAATAAACATTATTAAAATAACTCAACTTTTTTCTTTTTTTTTCAATCATAAATAATTTTATTTCACTAATAAATATTTTGTGTAAATAAAATAAATTTTCTTTTCACTTTACTTATAAATTATTTTATTTTATCAGTAAATATTTTCAAAAACAAACAAATTTTCTTTGCGTTTAAATCATAAAATTTGTAAAAATAATACAAATTTTATTTTTCATTTCAAGAATAAAATATTTTCAAAGTAACAAATTAATCTTCAATTCACCAATAAATATTTTTATTTTACTTATTAATAAATTCAATTCACTAATAAATTATTTTCAATTTACTGCTAAATTATTTCAATTTATTAATAAATATTTTCAATTTACTACTAAATATTTTTCATTGTACTACTAAAATTTGTAAAAATAATGCAAATCTTTTTTTCCATTTAAATAACACGAATTTTATTTTTGATTGTAATAATAAATATTTTTAAAACAACACAACTTATTTTTTTCACTTTAATAATTAATTTTTTTGCGAAAAAAAACAAATTATTTTTATTTAATTCATTTCTTTTCATTTAACAAATAAATAAAAGAAGAAGAAAAGAAACATGTGATGTAATCTTATATTTTAGCTTTTTTCTTTTGTTTGAAGCGAAAGAGTAAAAGAAAATTTCTTTTTTCTTGTTTATTTATTTCAAAGTATAGAAAAAGAAACGAACAATGAAAAAACAATTCACAAGTCTTATTCGATAGAAAATCGTTGAACACGATGATTCCAATGATCGGCGACATAGAGATTACCATGTCGATCGAAAGACAAATCCCTGGGGCCGTTGAACTGATTTGCTCCTGCTCCTGAACCATTTCCACCCACAATTCTAATGCCTTGTTTCTTGCCTCCTTGAGTCCAGCGCGTTACGCGATGATTCCTATCGTCTGCTACATAGAGTGTACCCAACGTATCAACGAAGATTCCTTCAGAATTAGACAATTGTGTCAGAGCATTCCCATCACCTTGTCCTCCAGCAACCACAATGCCTTCTTTTGCACCTTTATTCCATCTCATTACACGATTATTGGCTCTGTCTGATACGTAGACATTTTGTTGTCGATCGACAAAGAGATATGTCGGCCTGTTGAGTTGATTGAGTCCATCACCTTTACCATTACCACCAGCTACGAGAGTGCCATTCTTCTCACCAAATTGATACCGTCTTACTTCATGTTTTCCTTCGTCAGAAACGTGAAGATATCTCTGCTCATCCATTGCTGATCCTGCACAGGTGATGTTGTCGATGAGCACGTCCCCTTGTGTTGTACCACTATGACGAGACCATCGTACAACTCGTCGATTGTCTCGATCACAAATAATGAGACTATCGGTCTCTTTGTCAATTAATACATCAGTTGGATTATTCAATTGATGTAATCCATTTCCTTGGCCTTTACCACCAGCAATAACTTGTCCATTCGTTGTATCACCGTTATTCCATTGCATGATACGATGATTCTGGTTGTCAGCAATAACCACTGTTTGATCATCATCAACGAAGAGACCAAGAGGGCGGTTGAATCGATTAGTGGCACTACCCAACCCATTACCTCCAGCAATAGTCACTCCATTCTGTGCCCATTTAGCATTAACAGGAATATTAACTACAAGAGAAAACGTAAGAATAAAAGGAAATCTCTCTCTTTCTCTCTCGAGTATAGCTAGTATATGAAATAATTTCGAAAGTTTCGAGCAAAATTCTTTGAGTAGATCATTCTTTTTTTTGGTAAATTCTTCAGCATAAGTTTTTTCTATACTGGAAGATTATTCTATAGAAAGAATCACACATACAGCATATCGTTCTCTCTCTCTCTCTCTCTCTCTCTCTCAAGCGTATTTAAATTCTATATTTTTGTAGAAAAT